TCTATTTTTTGTTGTTGAATGAAACTCTGCATGTAGTTTATGTTGCAGAGACTCGACTGAACTCTCAATTTTTGTAGAGGATAATGCAATTGCACAGACTGTTTCAAGTGTAGTGTAGTTAGACCAACTTGTAATGTAAAGCTTCTGTAAGAGAAATGAAATATAGGGTGGTGTAAAAGATAGTGGTGTTGGAAGAGAGATCTAAATTAGCCTCTTGTTACGAAGAATCTCCAGAATAGGGATATTAAACCCCATTCAAGCAATTGTTAGAAGTATCCGAGTTATTATAGAAAGCAGATATGAATGATATTTCTTTCTGGATATATCCAAGATCTTTTCGATATTATTTGTAAACGTATCAAGAATTTAATATTGCTTTTGGTGTTAAATTATACTACTATAATCTTCTGGTAATCTGTACGATTTCAGTTGAGAATGAACAGATAATTGCACACAATTACAACATATTTCCTTTTTAATAATATTTCATCTATGAATACTTAAAAACGCTTGCTTCTTCTATCTTTGCATTTTTTATTGGAAAAACTGTCAATTTAGTTCTCGTACTTTCATGAAAACGTCAATTGGGTCCTCGTACTTTTAAAAAGATCAATCAAGGCCCGAACTTTGTAAAAACGTTCAATTGAGTACATTTGCAGGTTACTTGCCATGTCAGCAGGTCACCCGTTGTTGTGACGCACATGTGGCAGCCCAATCATCAATAATTTTGCTGATGTGGCACACATGTGGAAGTCTAGTCAGCCTTTTGTTGATGACGTGACGCACACGTGGACCACCATGTGTGCTCAATTGAACGTTTTTACAAGTTCGGGGACTTGATTGATCTTTTTAAAAGTACGAGGACTTAATTGATTTTTTCATGAAAGTACGAGAACCAAATTGACAGTTATCCCTTTTTTATTTTATACTTTCTCTCATACTTTGCATTCTTTATTTAGACTATCCCTAGGCCCTAGCACTCTACACTTGAATTTCGTGAAAACTTTATAGTTATTTGCTTCATGCTATCATTTTTCCACATATAATTTTTGTGTTTCAATATTTTTTTGGTAGTCTTTAACTGTAAAATTTAATATTAACGCAATTTAGGATTATAGATACTAGTAGGCAATAGTTTACTTGATTGAGCCCGACAAATGAAATACTCCGTATAAGAAAAGGCTTATCACCTATGTTGCACGGATACGCGGATACAGGTACGGCGATACGGCACTTTAAAAAATTATAGGATACGGGTACGGGGTATATTTGTAAATAATAAAAATATAGGGTATAATTTGCAAATATATATATATATATAATTCAGGAGTTCATGAATAAAATAATAATAGTACAAAAAATTAACTATTATAATAAAGTTTCAAAGATTAGTCCAAAAAAACTAAAGTATTGATATTTTGATTTAAATTCAAATAACATTTTTTTGTTCTCTATTTGCATTTACATCCAAGTCTTGTTTCAATTAAAACCCATCAAGCAATGAAATGACAAATTATAGTATTCCATTATTTTCCATACTTCCGAAACCATCTTTATCAATGTTCCACATGTTGTGGTCGCTTGGGCAGCTACTAAATTTTCGTCATGTCGTGTATCAAATGAGGGGTTATAGGTTCAGATACGTGTATCGGTTCACGGATACGGGTATCGGAAGTATCAATGTTTTTAAAATTAAGCCCGATACTTTTATTAAATTACGGATACGGATCCAATACGTACAGGACGCGTATCGGTGAGTATCGGATACGGATACGTATCGGATACGCAGATACGGCATCGGGGTGAAGTGTCGGTGCAACATAGCTTATCACTTGTGTGCAGTTGCCGAGTATTCCCTCCATATCACTTTATTTTTCTCACTTTTTTGGGACGATCAATTAATTGTGACATTTCTCATTTTGAAAAGAAAATGATTTAAAAAACAGCTAGAGTATTACTACAGTATCAGTATAGTAACGTTATGACATCTTTTATAAATTCTACAGTAATTACATTAAACTACGTGAAAAAGCAAATGAGATGGATATAATAATAAGGTGGTAGTTTATTTATAATGCACATGCAATTTATCATAATCCAAATGTGTAAGAGTACTACGAGCTAGGAATGTACACCAGCTAGGAGGAAGTAGGCAGAGCTAATCTACTAATACAATTGAGTAAAAATAACATGACCTCTCAAGTGAGAGTCCAAGTGATATCAATGAGATGTATGACGATATGACATTTTGAGTGAGTCAGGTTGGTCTCTAATGTGCACAAATGTAACACGTAGTCGGTTGTTATGGTTTAGTTTCACTTGTAAAATGAAAATCAATGATTATAAGTTTCATATGGTCAAGGCGGAGCCAGGGTATTAGACCGATACAAAGAATATACGTAGTAATACTTTTGGAAGATTTTTTAGGCATTTTTTACCTTATATATTTAGGCACTTTTAAAACTTGGGTGGTCCGCGGGCCACCCTAGATCCGTCCCTGTAGGTGATTATGAAAATTTGGATTTGCAATATGGCACCCAGATTGTCATAGTAGATGGTGGATTGGTGGGAGGGCTCTTGGAGGGGATGTGAAGTTCTCCTATGGGATTACACAACCAAATAAATTATGTTGTGGTAGTAGCTATTCCCTAATATTCGTACTCATTAGGTGAATGTGGCAATGCTTTGCTTGTTGGAACTCCAACTAATGGTGTCGCAACCGAAGAGCACGAGACTACTATAAGTTTCCAGGGAGAAAGTGCCATCAACATTACATGTAATGATATGGTGGAACAATTAGAACACTGAAAGGAGAGAAACATCATAATTGTTATTGATAAATGTAGAGTTAAGCAAGTGCGTTGGAAGTTCATAATACCAAACGCGATCGAGGTCGTATTTGTCATAAGCCATACAAATCTATATGGATCAGATGAGGTAGACATGAAAATATTAACATGATAGTAAGTCTATTTAGCCCTAGGTTGTCTAAAGTCGCTTATTTTTCTATGAGATATATGGAGTATGTAACTTTAAACTTAACCACATAAAGGAAGAAAACTATCATTATAATATCATTTTGATCCTCGAACTATTAAATCTATCACTTTAGTCCTTAATCTATTCAATCTATATCAATCGAGTCATTCTGATAAAATTGCCGTTAACTTTGAAGGTAAATAATTAATTTATTACTTACATACAATCATCTCATAATTTTAGACATTTAAAACAATACAATCATTCTTAAACTTTAAGTAGCTAATCTTGTTTTTTTTTTAAAAAATATGCATTTATATATATATATATATATATATATATATATGCATACACATAAAAATTATAAATAATTAATTAAATATATAATATAAAACCAAATGTATGACTTAAATTATATAGCTTATCCGTCTCGCTAAGATTGTCTCATCTTTCCTTTTCAATCTGTCCCACTATAATTGGCTCATACCTAATTTGGTATAATTTGTGTAGTTTTTATTATTATTCCTACTTTAGGGAGATGACGTTTCCAGCGCATGGGGATGACCACGGCAATGAGGGAGGCGTGTGCCACGGAGATTGGGGCAGCGGGTTCCGCAACAACGGGACGACAGGTGCTGCGGCGACGGAGTAATGGCTATAGTTTTTAGAAAATGAGTAGAAAGCTAGAGTTTTATTATATCATTCGAAGTACATATTATGGTAAAAAGAAATTAAATGTAAGGGCAAATTAGTCCATAGAAAATATTTATCTATTTAGTAGATGTTATGAATTTAAATACGGTGTATTATTTTGGGAAAATTGGGGGCATGTATTGGATGAGTTTTAGTCATTTATTTTCTCTTAATATAATTAATAATAGTAACAACCATCCACATTTTCTTATTTAATTTTATTTTCTCATATGCATATAATTGAGATATTTGACTCTCTATTATATACTACGTATTATTTAAGCCATACATTTGGTTTTATTTAATTATTTATTTATAATTTTTATTTGTGTATGTGTATATATATGTATATTTTAAAAAAATAGATTAGCTACTTAAAATTTAAGAATAATTGCATTGTTCTAAAATGTTTAAAATTATGAGATGTTAATAAAGTAGCTACCATTAATGTTAACGGAAAATTTAACGGAAGGACTCGATTAATATAGATTAAATAGATTAAGGACTAAAATGATAGATTTAATAGTTTAATGACCAAAATGATATGACATTGATAGTTCAAGGACTACTTATGCATTTTACTCTTAAAATAAAAACTATATATGTTTGTATATATTCTTCAACGTTATTATTAGTTAATACTACACCCATCTCCTATTGAATGTCTTGTTTTAGTGGTTGAAAAGTAAAAGTTAGGGTTGAAGTTTTAGTAGAATAAAGTGAAATGATATGAATTATATATTTCTTGCCAAAAAAGAAATACAACATTCATTTTTGGACAATCCGAAAAAGGAAATTAAGACAACCAAAATGGGATGGATGAAGTATTTATTACATAATGAAGTTAAGTGAATAGTTTTAAATTATAATACTATATTATTAAATGTGACAACTTTTACCAATCATGCATGTTAATGTGTATGTGTTTTTCTTATATACACACAAACACAATATTACTTATCATTTCTATACAAAAAATATTAATAAAAATATAATTTCTATGCTGCTGATTAGTATCCTTCACGGCCCTAAGCGCTAGGCAATGGGCTAGCGCCCGACTAACAACTTTTAGAACATTGATTGAAATATCGACTTTTATGGTAGCCTCCCTCATCTTTAATACTACCCTTGTCCCTTTAAGATTGGGAAAATGTAGTGTGATGTAATTTTTATGGAAAGTAGAGTTATATAATTGTATTGAATAAAGTCAAAATGAATTAGAACCTATTTTATTATTTCAGGGGTTACATTCATGGCGGTCCGTGGGCCCAAAAAGTAACAAAGATCTAGGTCTAGTACATTTCCTTCAGCCTAATTTAATCCGGCCCAGTAGCCCGAGAACTAATACAGCCTAAGGAGGAAGAAGGAGTAGTTATTCAGTTTCAGTAAGCTTAAGAACGCTGGAAGTCTGGGACCGCCGAACAGAAAGCAGCCGACTTGCCGAGCAGTCGAGCAAAGCAGAGACTAGAGAGGAGCGGCCGAGCAGTCTTCTGGTGCGCTCTACGGCCGGAACCTCCTCACCGGCACTCTGGCAGCCTGCTCTCTGACCATCTGTGGACGGTGGACCTGCGATTCTCACCTTCTGGTACTCCTCCAACTATTTTATTGATTAGTTCATAGTTCATACAAATTTGTTGTGTGTTGATTTGGTCTGTCCTTGTTGATGCTGCCTTTGGTGGATTAATTAATTCATACTCGGTAGTTTTTTAATGTGTCTCCAGTTAATTTTCGCGGGAATTTTGGCTAAAGATACTTCATTTTTGTATAGACAAGCAGTCCGGTTGTTGGGTCTTGGCGCATTGCGCGCTGCAATTATCAGAAATAGTTCCTACTCAACTCTAACATGCTCGGTCTGACTTCAACCTCCACTGCCTCCCCATCAGTCAACACTTTCTCCTGTACAGCCCAGGGACGCTTTTTCTCCACCACTCTACATCCATTGTCTAGGAGAAGTTACCGTTTCTTCAACTTTCAACAGGTACTCTATGTTTGTGAAACAATATTTTGCTTTTGCTAAGTACCCTCATGCACAGTGTATGCATATTTAAAACAATTGTTTGCCCCTATCAGCCCATAACAACTTCGTATAAGCTAACTTTGCAATCAATCAAAGCCATGGCTGAAGCTCTTGCTACTCCGAATCCTGCGTCCAAATTATCTACTTCTGGTATGCATGTCTACTCTAATCTATTTTTTTTATCTTATGTCTCTATACTAATGCATATATATATATATATATATATATATATATATATATATATATATATATAGAGGACTGCTCAGGTCCCTCCGGAGGGACGGGGGACCGTCCGAACTTTACTGTTTGAGGCGGTTCCCGGTGGAATTTTTTGATGAATTTTTTTGAGCATGTTCCTCATCAAGTCTAGTTTGTCCATACCAAATTTTAGCTCAAAATTCGACCGGGAAGGCAGTCAAATAAATTCTTGAAACTTACTGCACTTTATATATGCGCAGAATGTGCAGTAAGCTTCAAGAATTTATTTGACTGCCTTCCCGGTCGAATTTTGAGCTGAAATTTGGTATGGACAAACTAGACTTGATGAGGAACATGCTCAAAAAATTTCATCAAAAAATTCCACCAGGAACCGCCCCAAACAGTAAAGTTCGGACGGTCCCTCCCGTCCCTCCGGAGGGACCTGATCTTTTCTGTATATATATATATAGAATAGAGATCAAATACAAACTATGCTTAATTTACAAAGTACAAACTTATCTTGGCCATCCGATGAGTTGATCTAAAGGATATAAATGCAAGGTGGCATTTTTGTAATAAAACCTAACTTTTCTAGGGTGCAACTCGTTGAACGTTAATGTGCAACTGCTATTTTATGACTATATAATATGCAACACTTTGAACCTCAATATGCAATGCAAATAACGTCAAGGGGCATCATACAAACATTTGCACAATAAGCACAGTTTGTACTTGATCTTTCCCCTATATATATATATGTATATGTATATGTTCCAAATAAACCTGACTACCTATAAGAGTATAATAGCTGTTTATTTATTTTTTATATTTAGGGAGAAGGCAAGCTTTGATATCACTTTCAGACAAGAAGGATCTGTCTATGCTTGGAAATGGATTAAAAGAATTGGGGTAAGTATATTTTTTTATTTAAGTAGTTGCCCTGACTCACTGTCAACATCCTGCTATATAACTTTCTCTTCACTTGAAAGAGGTTAATGGCTATCACATTGATTGAAAAGTTTATTTTCCCATGCAATTGAATTTGTCTCGCTCATTCATCGATGTCATCTTAAGTGTTCTAGTATTCCATTAATATCATCCCTTCTAATTATTTCCATTATTGAATTTGCTTATTACTGCAAAAATATACTCTCCATATTTTAACGTTCCTTACGTTAGCTTTGGGCACAAGATTTAAGGGAGAATAGTAGGGGTAATGAATAGTATAGAAAAAGTAGGAGAGAAGGTGAAAAGGTAGGAAAGAGAGGATAAAAATAGAAAAGTAAGGGTAATTGAGTACTTTTAAAGGAAAAACTTACCAAAAAGGGAAAGTGTATGGAACTTTTAAATACATCCCAAAATGGAAAGTGTATGGAACTTTAAAATACGGAGGGAGTATGATGGTGATATGTTAATTAGATGAAAGAGGTTAGTGGCTAAGACATTGATTAGAAAGTCTATGATGCAATGCAAGTGCATTTATCTCACTCATTCTTTAATGTCATCTTAAGTGCTCCACTATTCCATGTATATTATCCCGTCTAATGACTTCTATTATTTAATTTGCTAATTACTTAAAAAATATACAAGTATGTGAATATGCGACGGTAACATACAAAAACATGAATATGTGAATACATGATGGTGATATGACGGCATTATAATTTGTTGTATAAGGTGTTCATTTGGATGGGCTTAAATATCTCTAATTTGTGATATGCTTCTAGGTACACAATTGTTTCTACAGGAGGAACTGCATCTGCACTTGAGGTTGCTGGGGTTTCTGTGACTAAAGTAGAAGAGCTTACACATTTTCCTGAAATGGTATTATATATTGAACAGTATGAAATAATAGAACTTGCTAGAGTGATATGATGCAAAAGGAATTAGATGTTTTCCAGTCTTTAATTTAATTAAGCTTGCTTTTGGCAGCATATTGACTTGTTTGCATATCTTTTGCCTTGTACTTATCACTACTTGAACTCCCTTCATGTTCTTTTAGCAAAATCTTGTGGAAAAAAGTCTCTTTTGCTATTACTAGTTATGTATCTAAATTATTTCTTATGTGTGTGTTTATATTTTCTAATATTTTATACTTTTTAGTATACTCCATTAATTCTTACTCCTTAAAGAAAAATATGTTGTATGTGTGTGTTTATATTTTCTAATATTTATACTTTTTAGTATACTCTATTACTTCTTACTCCTTAAAGAAAAAATATGCATATTGTCTCCTGTTTTTTTGTTCTTTTTCCTGCACTCCTTACTGCTTTGTTGAGACCAAGGCTAGGGCAGACTGCCTTCCTGCATATTTGTAGTACTTTGATGGTTATTCTTCTTCTTTTTAGTAAAACTACCTAAATTAGGAATCTTTTCTTTATTAGAAAATATGAATGTACAAAAAATTGTTGCAGACTTGCAGTACTGGTACATAATTAATTTCTGTTTCTCTTTTCGGCTACTTCATCTTTCTTGCAAATTTGGCAGCACATAAATGATCAGTTGTGTCTCTTATAGGTGATCCTTTAGAAACAAGTATTCTGTCTCACCGTGAGACACTCTCACCCAAGTTTTTTTTTAGCTTGACGGCCGTGTAAAAACTTTACACCCTACCATTCACGGGGGTATTTTGGCTAGAAGAGATCAGCACCATCATATGGAAGCCCTTGATAAGCATGGAATTGGTAAACAAAACTTTTCTTTATGATTCATTCAACTTACTCAGACTAAAAAATCTATGATAAAATGTTGTGGATACCACATTTATTGTATGAATGCAATTCAGTAATTGTTCATCAGAACCATTCTTTCTCAGGAACATTTGATGTTGTAGTGGTCAACTTGTATCCATTCTATGAGAAAGTTTCTTCCTCCACCAGAATTTCATTTGAAGATGGAATTGAGAACATTGACATTGGAGGACCTGCTATGATTAGAGCTGCTGCAAAGGTTGTTAAGACCACTCTATATTGCATGATGATAAGTTTGTTTTTCCGATTCAAGTTAGTCTTTTACTTCTGTGTGGGTGCTTGCGTGCTGTATTTTAGTAAGCATCTTACCATCCGCAAGACTAGAGTACCCTTAATGTTATTAGCTTACTTGTGATTGGGTTTAATATTATATTGGGTAGTATTGCATGTGCTATTATGTGTTTGCTATATTTCTTACTATCAATCCATAGAACCTCAGGGGACATAGAATAAATGGAAAGGTCTTGGTGCACAAGTTTGATAAAACATCATCCTTTTTTCTCAGTCATCTGATAAATGGACTATTTGTATTCTTTGATATTTCAATCTCCTAAGGTTTCAAGGAATATTACTAAATTAGATTAGGCTTGATGCAAACAGAACCATAAGGATGTTCTGGTTGTGGTTGATTCTGGTGACTATCCTGAACTCATGCAATTTCTTCAAGCAAATTCGGATGACCAACAGTTCAGAAGAAAGTTAGCTTGGAAAGCTTTTCAGCACGTTGCTTCGTACGATTCTGCAGTTTCTGAATGGTTGTGGAAGCAGACCGGCGGAGGTATTTGCTTGATATTGGTTATTTTGATACATGTTTTGTTGATCAGGGTAACACTTGAATATCAAAATTTCAAAGTTTTCAATAAGATGGACTTGTTTATGCTTACAAGAAAATTTAACATAATTTATATTTGTTCAATGCTCGTCAACATTGTATGCCTTCCCGATTGAAGTTTTAGCTGAAATTTGGTATGAGTAAACTAGACTTGATGAATAAGATGCTCAAAAAATTTCATCAAAAAATTCCACCGGGAACTACCCCAAATGACGACGGCCGGACAGAGCCTCCTAAATAAGGGCTTATTCGACCTTTTTTGGTTAGTACATGGGCCTATTTGCACCTTTCCCCAAATTCTTTTGATTCATACTTTTAAACAAAAAGAATAGAAATCCCAAATAAATGTAAACGTAAAAAAATATGAAGAAAAGAACTAGACTCAAACAAAACATTGCAAGTTTACTATGATCTGTGCAAGTAATGAGTGTTTTTGTTGCCTTTTTGGAAGATAATTTCCCTCCTGGCTTTACGGTGCCTCTATCACTAAAAAGCTCACTTCGCTATGGTGAAAACCCTCATCAGAAGGCTGCCTTCTATGTTGATAAATCACTGTCTGAGGTTAATGCTGGTGGTATTGCAACTGCCGTTCAACACCATGGCAAGGTAATCTGTTAACCTATGCAGTGTATTATACAGTCATTTGATTCCTTTAGTTTGTAGTGATATTAACTGATTTTATAGCCACATTTAAATGTCTTCAATTTTTGCATAATACTCACTCAGCTTCTATTTAAGAAATAATGGAAGTCACTTTTGTTTATCAAAGTAGATTTATTTTTTCATTCACTATTGTCCCTCTTGCAAACTCCATAACACATTCCCCATAAAATGTTTAAATTTATAATAGAAAAGTAATCAATATTTTAAATTCTTTTGAAAATCATTTCCTTTCATGGTCTTGGTGAAAGTCCAAACAGTCTTTTAATGACTAGAAGGAGTATGCAGAAGCCCCTAATTGTTTATCTGGGAAGCCCTGAGATGTGAGATGACATTCAAGCACTATAGTTATTGTCCACAAACAAGTGACTTATATTTACTTAAGTAGCTTAGTTTTTTTTAAGGATCAAGTAGCTTAGTTTTAATTGAAATGAAACGTCATCTGTCAGTTTCTTTTTTTCTCGGTGTTATGATATTGCAGTGGACTAACAATGTTGGTTTCATGAAAACAGGAGATGTCATATAATAATTATCTAGATGCTGATGCAGCTTGGAATTGTGTGTGCGAGTTTAGTAAACCAACATGTGTGATTGTGAAGCATACAAACCCGTGTGGTGTGGCTTCTAGAAGTGATATTATTGAAGCATATAGGCTTGCAGTCAAAGCAGATCCGGTCAGTGCCTTTGGTGGTATAGTCGCCTTCAATGTAGAAGTTGATGAGGTAAATGTTGAGTCATTAACATAGTAAGGTGGTGTTCTTTTCACCCTACTTATTACTTACTAGCAGACCAAACAAAAATATTTAGATTAGATCAGAAATATTCAAATGAGACCAGAAAGAGTGACATGATACAAAAAATATTCAGAAAAAGTTACATACATTTTGAGAGGACAAGAAAATCAGACAAGATCAGTAATTCTCAAACAAATCCTCAAAAAACCCAGCCAGTTGAGAAACATTCATACTAGATCAGATATGGTATTTTGGACAAGAATATTAGACAAGACAAGAAATATTCAGGCCAGCAGAAAGATTCTGACCGGACCAAAACTTTAAAACAAGATGAGACCATATTCTTTTTCGGTCAGTAAAAATAACATGTGCTTTGTCTATTGATACTGGGAATTTATATCCTTTCTGTTAAATATATTGATAGGGTCTTGCTAATGATATTCGAGAATTCAGAAGTCCAATTGATGGTGAAACTAAGATGTTTTATGAGATCGTTGTTGCCCCCAAGTATACAGCTAAGGGTCTCGAGATTCTTTGTGGAAAGTCCAAGAATTTGAGAATCCTTGAGGCTAGTAAAAACAGCAAGGGAAAGCTTTCACTTAGGCAAGTTGGTGGGGGTTGGTTAGCTCAGAATTCAGATGATAAAACCCCAGAAAACATCCTATTTAATGTTGTTTCTTCTGGGAGAACTCCACAAGAGAGTGAGCTTGATGATGCTAAGTTTGCATGGCTCTGTGTCAAGCATGTGAAGAGCAATGCGATAGTGATAGCAAAGGTTTTGTTTGCCTACTCCTTATGATGCGATTCTTCTTTTACATTTGAAGTGAATTAGCAACAAATTGGGTTGCATACTAAATCTTAGTTATGGGGGTGTTTTATGGTGGCGCAGGACAATTGTATGCTAGGTATGGGAAGTGGACAACCAAACCGCCTTGAGAGTTTAAGGATCGCCTTGAGGAAAGCCGGGGAACAAGTCAATGGAGCCGCTTTGGCCAGTGATGCTTTCTTTCCATTTGGTAAGTACTTTTTTAACATTGTAATTCTTCAAACATGAGAATTATATCTTTCTTTCCTCGCCAATGAAACCCTTGAAGTGATACACAAATATAATAATATTACCTTAAACTGTTTGGTACATGTATTGTGATATTGCTTATGTTGTCCCATCCAAACTGGGAAGAATCCAAAATATTGCCGATCTTGCAATACATTTGAAAATTGCCTTCTTTTATCTAGAAGTCCAAATACTATTGTAGTGTTACGAACACCAACCAAGGTAATATTACATTACATTGATATTGTAATGCTGTATGAGGCTAATATTACATTACTGAGCACTAAACAAGGTAATGTTACATTGCATCGGTAATGCCACATTCCGTGAGTCACATCCACACCCCCAGAGACCCACTAGTACTATAAAAGTATAAACTCGGCTTTTCATTGTCTTTATTACTACGTATTATTTTATATTTAAGGTTTTGGTTATATGTAATATTGTAATGACACTGGTATACACAACAGCATGGAATGATGCTGTAGAGGAAGCATGCAAAAGCGGTGTAGGCGTAATTGCAGAACCAGGAGGAAGCATCAGGGACAAGGATGCCATCGATTGCTGTAACAAGTATGGAACAACCCTGCTTTTTACCAATGTGAGGCACTTCAAGCATTGATTGATTATATCAAACTGTCTGTATCCTACACAATTTTGTTGTTCTTTCCGAATTGATTGATTATATCAAACTGTCTGTATCCTACACAATTTTGTTGTTCTTTCCGATGCTTTCCTGCTTTAGTCTAGTCTATTTTGTTTTGTACTAAAAGCAGTCTTGATTCCAATAATTTAGGGAAAACTGTCAAATAGGTCCTCGAACTTTCATAAAAAGGTCAATTAAGTCCTTCTATAGGAGGTTTTGTCCGGCCGTCGCGATTTGGGGCAGTTCCCGGTGGAATTTGTTGATGAAAGTTTTTGAGAATTTTATTCACCAAGTCTAGTTTACTCATACCAAATTTCAGCTAAAAATTCAATCGAGAACACATTCAAATTAATTTTTGAAGATAACTGCGCATTTTTGCGTTCTCGAATTAATTTGAATGCGCTCCCGATTAAATTTTTAGCTGAAATTTGGTATGAGTAAACTAGACTTGATGAATAAGATGCTCAAAAAAATTCATCAAAAAATTCCATCGGGAACCACCCCAAATCGCGACGACCGGACAGAGTCTCCTATAGAAGGACTTAATTGACTTTTTATGAAAGTTCAAGGACCTATTTGACAGTTTTCCCAATAATTTATGTAACAAAAGAAGTTCATAATCGGTGTTGCAAGTGATTGGTTTCACGGGATTTCTCGCTTTTTTGCAAGCTTGCAATGTGTTACAACTTACAATCATCTGATGATCTTTGTTTTGTTATTATATTTTATAAGGGTTAAGCTTTTATTAATCATACAAGGATAATTACTTCACTCACTTGTCCAATTATACCCATGAAAGTATCTCACTGGTCCCGTGTCTCCAGTTTACATTTTGGAAGAGAAAAATAATACTCTAGGTCTCTAGGCAATTAAAATAATTTCTCAAACAAATTTGGTCAAACTACTCGTTATATTTTCTGCCCGTCTACTACATACTACGTATATCTTAGAACAAATACATTATTATCCTTTTCAGTGTTTCAGTTATACAGACAAAAAGGTCTAAAATGTGAATAATTAGTGGGTAAAGAAACCAAAGTATCTTAGAACAAATACAATATTATCCTTATCAGTTTTACATTTATACACTATTAATATTTGGCCTGTATAAATCCCGACAATTTTTTTTATTGTAACTAGATTTTTTACATGTAACATGTATAATTAAAAATGCTATAATGATCTCTCATGTCACTAATAATATAATTATGCATGGACCCGGGGCGGGCTCGGGCCAGGCCTAGGCCCGGTCGGGCTTTAGGAGTTTGGAGGTAGGTCCAGAACCGGCCCAGGTATCCCCCGGGTCCGGGTCGGGCCTCGGGTCAATTACTATTTTTTTCCCTTTTTCTAATTAACCCCCGACCCCCCCACCCCAACCCCCCAAACCACCCCAAATGGCCCAAACTACCCAGCCCAACTTGAGAAATTAAAAAAAATGGAAAAAAGCCCGTAACCGGGCCCGGCCAGGCCGATTCATCTTTTGGGTGACCTGAGCCCGCACCGGAAACCCCCCGGGCCGGGCCTACCCGGACCGGTCCCTGTCCGGGCCACCGGTTCGGGCCAGTTCTAAACTGTGCCGGGTCTGGGCCGGTTCCGGGTCGGGCCACCCGGCCCGAGTCCATCCATAAATCTAATATACTACCTCCGTCCCATTTATATTGGGGGAAGAGGGTGACACGGTTATTAAGAAAAGTGGGTTTGTGTGGTTGATATTAATTGATAAAGTAAGAATAAAGTAAGAATCATTTAGAGCCACACAAACTTTGCCAAATATGGTATGAGACAATTTAAGTGAAACTTCCTGAAAAGGTAAAACGGGACAATATAAATGGGACGGAGGGAGTAGTAAACAGTCGATCATGTGACAATTTCAAATTTGAGAAAGCTGAAAGTGCTTTAGGTTTTAATTTTTAACGAAATTATATCATGACGCTTCATACAACACCTAAATAGTGTATGTAACATTTTAAATTTTAAATAATTATAATCATCCTTGAAAAAAAAATTGATCACAAAGGGGTAGTAATTTGAGTATCTCAAACTTTTGAAAAGCGTGAAATCAGCAGCTTGATTCTTGAACTTGCATGTACAAAACAAATATATTGAGCATGTAATCTCAAAATCATGTGTATATTTATTTGTTTTATTCAAACAAAATCAAGATTTTGACTCCACATTTCCTAAACTTTTGGTATGTTTAAAATTTAAATTACACACATACATTATCAAACCAAACACAACACATTTTCAATTTAGCTCATAGTTGACCAGGTTGGTTGAACCCAGCATGGCAGCATGGACATGCTGCACCATTAAAATTAAAACCCAGTTATGTTACGATGCTAGCAAAACTCATTAGCTCAATACGTTTTTTTGTTTAAGCCTCTTTTCTCATAGAGAATATATAAAAGGGTATGGTATGATATATTCACATCAAGAAATTCATGCTGAATGTTTTATTTGAAAATGTGTATCATGACTCTAAACCAAGTAACTAAATATAGGATTAGCATTTGGAAATAGCATGTCACTGGAGCATTTTGAGAATTTTATACTATGATTATTTTAAGATAATCAATACTTTGGATTATTTAGAGCATGTCACTGATAGTTGAGATTATTCATGTCAATTTAATAAAAAAATATTATTGATGTATGAGTGAAAAACTTGCATGAATTACAAAGGGGCCCATAATTTACTGCGGAGAGTGCTCAAAGAGTAATTCTGTTCACACACCTCAATTTACTAATGCCACATAATTAAATATTACGGAGTAATACATTAAATAATTAAACTCAAATATTTAAATCACCCTTATTATTATAGCAAGACAATCACTTTGACCACCACAAATGCGTGGGATGCTTGCAAAATATGTACTTGCTTCCGAATGCTTCGGTTATTAAACAACTAACTGCCATCCTCGGTCAGACCTCTTGCTCTCCGTCTCTCTTGGTTGTTGAATTGCATCTAGTGAACTATATGTTTGAACTTTGAGTATCTTCAATCCTAATATGTTAACGGTGCATACGTGGCATGAGAGATAGCCAATCAAAAAATAATAAATAAAATATCTTTCTCCTTATTTGAAGAATCTTATATCATTTTGGTAAGTTTTTCTTCATAATGTCAAACACAATGTCTAGATACAGATATTGTGGTTGACATTGCAGAGAAAAACTTACCAAAAACACATAAGACCATGGAAAGATGGAGAGAGAAATGTCATAAAATCAATCTTTTGTGTCTATCTCTCTCATGCCACATGTGCACCGTGCACATTGTAGCATTAGAGATGCCCTTATAACTGAGTAATTACCGATTTCTATTTTCTAAAATTTTTATTTGGATGTAGAAATATCAAATATGAAATCATTGATTTATGTTATTTTTTAAAAAGATAAATTGAAAAGTGTTTACAAAGAAGTTTTTACAATGTTTTCAATATATGAAAGCACGGTGGTGTGAACAATTGTGAATTAGCATTTTAATTTTATAAATGACAATTTTTCTATTTTGCTTTATATATTTACACATTACGTGTATCTACTTACTTAATAATAAAGTAGAATCTTGCCATTGTAATTGAATTCTAGAATATTCGCTATTGAATACAATTGAGAGGTTTAATATTTGTTATTGAGTCCAATTACTATATTGCAATATTACTATTGAGTAGTGCAAATAGATTGTCATTAAATTTTACATCTTGAATAGATTGTCCGTATTCGATGCTTTGAATTTTGATTACTTTACCCATAATTAATGAGATCATTAAAAGTACAAAAAAGGAAAGAAATTAAATATGAGTAATTGATATTGATATCAAATAAAAATAAAAGATTGACCATACATATATCTATTTACCTTAATAATAAAGTATAACCTTCAAATTGAAATTGAGTTATCAATTAATGACTAATGAGTCCAATTAGTGAATGACCATTAATTGCAACCAAGTCCTAAGTTTATAATGTTATACTCGAGAAAAGTTCACCTACTTCCTTAATTCCGTTGTCCGGCCACCACGATTCGAAGTGGTTCTCGGTGAAGATTTTTGATGGAATGTTTTGACCATGTTCTTCATGAAGTTAGATTATGTCTACAGAAGTTTAGTTTAAAATCATTCGGAAAGTCAATTAAATAAATAATTGAAAAACATTGCATTTTAATTACATATTTTGGCGCAGTTTTTTTCAATAATTTTTCAACTGACTTGCTGATTGAATTTTAGCTGAAGTTTTGTGCACATAATCTAAATTCATGTCGAACATACACACAATAAAAAACTCCACTGGGAATCGTCTCATATCATGCCGGCCGGCCGGCCGGCGGTTTCAGTCAGAAGGTCCTGACTGGAATATTACTCTATTATTAGATTTTTATTTTCAAATTTTCAAATAATTTTGTTGCTATTTTTTATGATTCGTTCTTCACAAAAGTTTCATAGTTTTATAGCATTAAATAATATTTAATTTTTAAAAAAGAATATAAAACTCATGAAATTTTAGCTCTTAGATTGATAGTTTTCAATCATTCAAGCCCTATATTGATATATTTTTATCTTTCAAGTCTCTTATTGATCATAATGAACATATCTTTCAGGTCCCCCAATAATGTTATTGAGAAATATTAATCATGCATAAGTTTTATTCAATAGAACGTGATTGGTCATAACCAGATTCGAAAAACAAGTATAAATGAGAAGTCATAACTCGAAAAGCCATGGATGATAATGTTTACTGTTTACATATTGAGAATTTCATTTTCACATACCATATGACAACTTTGTTCAATTTCCGAAGAAAGCAATATCCTGTGATGGTAAACTTTGCAATGACAATCAATAAAAGTTAAGGCTAAATGTTATCACATAAAGTTTGATTAATACCTTCAGAGATAAGTTTCATTAATGATCAATTGTGCATTGCAATACTAAGAGTAATGAGTAAAGACATCTCAATAATCATAATTTTAAAAGAAGGAAATTTTTTCACCAAGACGATAAATATTGTTTATAAGGAGGTTTCCCAAAACATAACAATGTGATGTTTGGTGTATACAATGTTACGTTACAATATCACTTTTTAATATATTATCTTTAATTAAATTACTATCCACAATTAGCGAACATTTGTTTGAAGTAAAATAATGAATTATTTATATTTTCTATAAAATATATCTTATAACATATTCGAACATTCACAACATTCGTGCGGGGTAACGCCCGGGTAAAACACCAGTTTTAATCATTTGTGTGATCACATACATATGAACCCATTATATTAACCCTTCTTCATACTATTTAATCTCATTATCTTTATCCCATCTTTCATGTTATGTGAGTACTTTACAAATTCAATAATAATCATATATTTATATATGCTTTTGATTGGCATGGATTTTTACCACACCCTTCATTTGATGGAAGCTTGAAGGGGGATGTACCATAACAACCTAACTGTTTCTGTTCCAGTTTCAGTAGTTAGTATGAAGTTAGTGTGAATTCACTCCAATTCGTGTAAGTATGAATAGCAAGGTGTATTTTTTTCCTACATAAATGTCATTCTCGGGGCATAATCACGGATTATATATGACTAGGCCCATATTAAGATGTTCTTTTACCAATTTTCTAACGCTAACAATTAATAGTCTTTGGAATTTGGGATGGTCCGACGTCTAACAT